ATACAATGGACTCAGGACAAGGTGCGTTTCTATAAGTCTTCCCACCATAATGACCAAGTTGCGAAAACAAGGTCAAACAACTTCTATACAACGAAAGAAGACTGCGATCACACAAAGGCCACACCATCTTGGTCTTCATATCTTCGAACAATTAGCATAACTTTACATAGGAGGTATGAAAACTAAGCTGATGTGGCCTTTTATACTGTCGCAGTCTCCCTTAGCTGTAGTGTTCGTTTAACCTCGTTTTTACGACTTGATAAAGGCAACAGGAAACGTACCGAGTCCTGGGTTCATGATAAATTCGAGCATCGGACCGATGACATGAAGCATTCCCAAACGTTTAGCCGTATCTATGACATTATATTTGGTCTTGGTTGAGCAGAAAATTGGTCAAGGAATTGCTTTCCCCTGTCACTGATAAGTATAGTCCCTATGCCAACAATGACGCCTCTCTCTGACGATGTCGGATAAACGTTTAGGGCTGTACCAAGTCAATTGTCCAAGGCTGGAAATCAAGAATATTATGGAAGAGGACACAGGACTAGGTACGTTCCACAAGGTCTCCCTGACACTGCGACCACGTTGCGAAAAGAAAGTCGAAGCAACACTAAAGCTAAAGGAGACTGCGACCAAACAGACCACACCATCTTGGTCCTCATATCTACGGAATATTTGGCCTGTCTATGGGTTCACCATTCTCACCTGTCTACATGAACAAGTTTGAGGAGAATTTTAAGACGTCACCTCAGCACCCAACAAATAATCTGCGATATTTGAATGATTACTTCGAACTCTGTTCGCATGAAAAAGAAAAATAGGACGATTTCATGATTTTCTTAGACGACATGGATCAAATAAAATCAAATTTGCAATGGATATTGAAGAGAACGGCTATTAAACCTTTTTGGATGTGGCCATTCGCTACAAGGAGACTCAAAAATAGCTATTCCGAAAGAAATTACATACAGTGGTGTTTAGCCTCCTGCGAGCTGACTCGGAAACTACGGCCGCTACTATTGAGATGGAGCATAGGTACAATCCTGAAGGAAAGAACAGTCATCGTCAACAGCTTGGCCAAATAACATTCAAAATCTAACAAAATGAAGTGCTTCTGTGTATAATACAAAGACTGCGGACAAAAGTAGGTCGGACAGACTGGAAGGACAACCCAAACAGGGATTAAAGAACACCAGTAATTATGATGAACAGTGGATACGGGGAGATTAGAGATAGCTGAACACATTGCCGTTACCGATCACACAGTTGATTGTAGTGCAACGGAAAGATTGGCCTCATATGAGGAGACCATAAAATAGATGACCAGGGACATCCTCTTTTAAAGAAACCTCATGAACGTGAGATTGGAAGAGGAACGAGTCCGAAGGAATTCGCGTACTGCCTGAGCAGACTTGGAGATTAAGCGAAGATAATTCAAGAAATACGCTTGAACCTAGGATATCTATTAAACACCACGAATAGACAGGTAAAAAGAGGATCATGAGGAACAATGGTAAATCTAGAAAATGCGATTAAAGTGAGAGGAGTCAAATCTAGAATAGCCTTAATAAAGTAAACGATGTGAGTACAAATTATACCCCCTTAGATGTGCTAAGCTAAAGATCTACATCCATTTCAAATTCATCAGAGTGGTAACCGAGCTGAGAAGGACAATATCAGTTAGTCCCAGCATGTGCCTTTTGAGCCTATTTTGTGTTTGTTCCTGTATCGAGAGGTGACGCTTCACATGCTTGACTAGCGAGGCTACTAACCAAAGTACACATACACAAATGGCTAGAACCTTAGGATCAGGTAGAACTGTCAACTTGAGACAAAATGAGTGTACTTTACGCGATTCAGGAGTGTAGAAGGGAGGCGATCCATCTTCCCACCCGTGATTCGAAAAAGAGCCAGACACAAAGCTCTAAAGAATACGAGAGAATGGGGAAGAGATGAGGAGGAAAACTGAGCCTCGAGCCAGAGAGAAAGATGTCTGGGCATGAAAATCACCGGTTTAAAATGCTCGAATATGACGTAAACGGGGATTGGAACTGAAGGCTTACAGGCAGCCAGACAGTGAATTTCATGTCTAACAGGTAGCATCTGACAAACAGGGTGGAGGAAGACTAAATACAAATCGGAAGCCCTGCAAACGGCATCTGAAACCGGTAGAGATGAATATGCTTTACTAAATCCATTTGAAGCAACACATTCTTCGGCAACATTGGAGGAAACTCGAGAACAAAATTGTGTAAATAGGTAAATGGCGATTAGAAGTGGGGTTGAGAAAGAGATGCAGCATTACAAAGTATGGCAGACTAGGGGCGAATGTAGCTACAATAGTCAAACAGAAAATTGGTCAACGGATTGCCTTCACTTGTCACTTTGATCAATTGTAACTCTATGCTAAAATGAAGCATCTTACTGTTGATGCTGGCGAAATGTCTGAGAATGTACCACTTAAACGCTCCGTTGCTAGAACTCATGAATACTATGGCAGATGATACATTCCACAAGGTCTCGCTGTTGCCCCGACTAAGTTGCGAAGAAGAGGTCAAACCAACACTATACTAATTTTAGTTGGCTTCTTAGTAAGAAGTCATGCTTTTTCACATCATCAAAAATGCTTTCAGGCTCAAACGAGTATAACAAAAGAGGATCCGATTTAAT